CATGTATAATTATATTTTTTTAATAATTAGTAATTATCTCAAAAACTTAAGGTATTACAAAACCTCGAAAAACAGATAAATAATTAACTCAAAAAAAGTTAAAAGTTAACTTTTAATTGTACTAATCACTTATAAAACACTTATTAAAAAATGTTCAATGAATTCCTGATTACATATTAATGTAAGCAAAATCATTTTTAAAATCCTCATAAAATTTTCTAATTAGTGTTAATTTTACGTTTGCAAGATGATCATAAAAAAAATTATGGTAAATATATCCTACTTTTTTTTTACATTTTTGTAAAAATCAATTTTAAAAGACTAATTTTTTTTTTTATGTATAATTATTTGTATTGAATAATTAGCAATCTCAAAAACTTTAGGCGATATAAAAACTCTAATAACAGATTAAAAATTACTTACAAAAATACATTTTAGTCTCTAATGTTTAAAAAGTATTAATTAATTAAAAAGTAAATCTCAAATTTTAATAATTTATACTTACTAGTATTCATTCATTTCATCAATAAATTGATTCGTTAGTTCGATGTGAGTTAAATATGTTAATAAAGTTTTTATTGTATAATGATTTTCTATTTTTTGTTTTGTTTTTTCTATGCTGTTTTTACAAGCCAACAAAAATGATTTCACTTTCTGTTTCTGACCTAAATGTTCATTTTATACAAGATTGTTAAAAAAATGTTTAAAGCATAAGTAAACTTGTTTGTAATGTTTAAAATGAACTAAAAGACAGAAGTAAATTTTCACATTGTTTTAAAAACGTTTTCAATTTAACAACCCTGATATCAATTTATCGTAATAGAATGAATTACAATTTTTTTATACTAAAAAATTAACATTTTGATCTTCTCTGTCAAATGTTTAAGATAGCTAATATTGATCAAAATATATATACGTATAAAGTTTACCACCATTTAAATTTAATATTACACAAATATTTCATTATTTTTCTTATATTAAATTAAATTATTGTCATTCATTCAAGCAACAGCAATTTCCATTGTACAAATTACACAACTATAACCAATATTTAGTCTATAAAGATTATGCTATTTTTATTATTCTCTGATTAACTTATACCAACGTTTTTTATCGTAATATAAACATGGAAAATTATAATTTTAACAATTTATCTATTACTAGTATTAAAAGAAGATATTATCATAAAATATTTAGTTATCAAAAGTTCTAGGAATCGCCTGAAATGGCTAGGACAAAATGGAACACATCTAGTTGATAACATTTTTAACATTTAACATTTCGTAGCAATTTTTTTTTTTGCTTAAATGGACTACATTACAATCATATTTTGATGCAAAGTTGAAAATGCAATAATTTTATAATAATGTGTTTATTTTTTGTGTCTGTTTCCACATTTTTTGCTCTCACCGAACGGATTTCTTTAAACGATACAATCACAAATCGTATCTAGTCAAAGACATTATCCTCAAAAATTGTTAAGTATCCCTTGTTCCACATAAATGGTGGAAACTCGCAAAAAATTACAATTTTTAAAAATCGGTAATTTTTTAAATTAAAAAAAAAAGTTTAACATAAAATTGTTATAACTTTTTGAAACATGAATGAATAATAACAAACTTTTTTTATAAAACCTTGGGTACCTATCATTTTGTTTATTTTTTTTTTTTTTAATCTGACGTTTTTCCTGTCCACAAGAGAATTTAAAATAGCAATTTTTTCACATAACATTAACTTTTTGAAAATGTTTTGAAAGTAATATCACCAGATATCATCTAAATTTGTCACGACCACATAGTGCCACTATCCCACTATGCTACCGTTTAAAATATACAAGGTGTGTCAGAATATAAGGGAATTTTGGTTTTTAAAAACATATTTATAGATTCGTCTACATTAATGATGTCGCCTTCAAAAAAGACCCTATTAATTGGATATTATGCACTTGAATCACCAAAGCTTCGTATATAATACTTAGTACACATACTATAAAGCTTAGCTCGTAGTTATTTAAAAATTTATTCTATTGTTCTTACACTTTTATGAATATTATTAGCAGGGACTGAAACCGTGTTTTTTTGTAGGTTCCGATTCGGATTTGGGTTCTTTAATAAAATATTTGAAGGTACCGGTTCTGTTCGGGTTCTTGAAAATAAAAGTTCCAGTTCCCAAAAATGAAGGTTCTATCCAAATTTTTAAAATTTAATTAAAATCATTAAAATTAAAATTAAAAAAGTCTCAGAAAATGGTGACAATTAGAATAGAATAACAATGTGGTATTAAAATTTCTTTCCAATACGTTGTAAAATATTATTAACTTTTATTAGTCATCTCTTTGCCTTATACTACCAATTTATAATTAATAAATTTATAATTGTTTTGAAATCTAATTATCAAAAAGTAGTTTTTAAAAATATAAAATTTTTAAAGCGAATAAAATCTTGAATTTTTTTGTTTTTGCGGTGAAACTGCATCGCAAAATATTCTTAATATGCTCATATTTTCCTGGTCATCGCTGGTTAGTTTAGGGAATAAAAAGGTGTAAAACTGATCATTATTATTTAACGATAAAAAAATTATAGTAATTTTTTCATTATTAAAAACAAATATGATTTTAGCATAGTCTAAGAATGCATAAATGATTAAAAAACATTGAAATGTTAATTGTATCAAAAGATATAGTTGTCAGTTAATAGTAAGTACCTTACAGTAAGTACATCTAACTCTCTGCAGAGTTTGTCCATGAATAGTACATGGTAATTGTATTGGTGGCATATTTGCTGCAATTTTAAAAACATTCATTTTTTATTGTTTTAAGACCATATTTTTAATTTTTATGATAGATGGTATATACAATAATGGAAATGGTTTTTAAAACAGAAAAGTATGTTAATTTATTAAAAGTTATATAAAATGTTCAAAAATAATATTTAATACCTTCTAAGTTTGGCAAATGAGGTTGCTTTCGTGACCATTCCATAATTGTTTCAACATCATATTTAATTTTCTCTTCAGTTGTACCTAATTCAGCATAAATTTCTTCCACTTGAATCTGCGAAGCAAGTGTTAAAAAATTCGAATCCATAATTCTTAAATTTTTGTTACAAACGCTATTGTCTTCAATTTACTTAAAATATTTGATCAGAATAAATAAATATTTAGCAGAAAATATTTATTTAAGTTTTTAGTTTTCAATTGAAAAAGTAATATACACAATGTTTTTTCGTCAATGTATTAATGTTATTTGATTGTAAAACACTTTGTACAATTATTTTATACCTCAATATTGTAGTATTCAAATTATACGTTATTAAATTATGAAAAAATATTTTACAGTATTTATTTATATTGAATTAATTTAATATTTTATTGTTTGTAATAATTTTAATTATTACACATAATGTTTTTCGTCAAGGTAGTAATATTATTTCGCTGTATAATACTTTATAATCGTTATTTTATACCTCAATACAGTGATAATCTGCATATACGTTTATTATAATATAAAACTAGATTTTTTTCATTATATGAAAATAATTTAAATAATTATTGTTTCAAAAATCTTATTGTATTTTTAAAAAAATTTAAATAATTAATTATAATCAAATTATTTATTCTTTTCCGAATTGTTTTAAATATATTACTATAACTATTAATATTCTAGTATCAAATGAATTTCATTTTCATTTATTTCATTGAAGATAAAATTTTACTTAAAAAGCAATTATCATACTAATTTCTTAATTGATAATATCAAAATTTTATACATTTTTTATGATTTTGCATTTTTTATTTTAATTTTTTAACTATTTATTTGAATATAGTTGAGTTATTCAATAGACAAAATTCTCTCTGCATTTTTCGAAAAATCTAACCATTAGTTAGAACTGTGAACTTGAAACTGTCTATGTCAACTTGAATGTGAAAGAGAAAATTATTATTTTTCCCAGTGGAAAGGGGCTAAAATATTTCCACGGTACCTCTGCCAGTCATAAGAGGCGACTAATGAGGTTGCGTCAGGTCGACAGTCGGTGTAAACATTATTGTCAAAAAAGTATGAGGAATCCTGAACAAAACTTATACGGATTTTCCCATCTCGGATGTATGCGGGGACAACAAAAAGTAGTTAAAAACGGTGAAGGCCTAAGGAATAAAGTGTTTGATATCAGCCGGACAACATGTGCGGTAGCTGTTTCACCAGTCATGTGTACAAGTCCACTTACTCTTGTAGTTTCAACGGTGTAGGAACAACACCACTTAACTCTAGACTGGACTCGTGTATGAGGGAGGAAAAAAAATAGATACAAAGTAAGAATAGGTACTTGGAATGTTGGAACATTAACTGGTAGAAGTAGAGAATTAGTAGAAGTATTGACGAGGAGAAAAGTTAACATTTCTTGTGTGCAGGAAACTAAGTTGAAAGGAGAGAAATCAAAGGAAATAGATGAGGGTTATAAAATAATATACTCAGGGAAGTATAGTACAAAGAATGGTGTAGGCAGGCCCGCATTTAGGGGGGGGCATTGGGGTCATTTGACCCGGGCGGCAAATTTTGAAGGGCGGCAAAAATCTTAATAGGTATACAATTTTTAAAAAATAATTATTTTTATTTAATTTAAAATTTTTTCAAACAGAACAATTTATTTTTATGAAACAAAAATATCTATTTCTAAAAAAAATATTACTTTATTATTTTCTAACTTAAAACGTGTACAAAGATATAAATGTAAAAGAAGATATATCAAAGCTGTATAACAACATAGACTACAGTAAGTAGTTAGATAATAGTATTGATTATACATAGTATTTTTATAATCAACAGCACTATAAATAAAGTAGGCGACAATTTATTTGATTCATGTTTTTATCTAATTTTAACAAAGTATTGATATTTTCTCCCTTAAACTGGTTTTGTGGATGTCGTCGGCCGTTGATAGTCGATTATTATTGGAATACTAAGAAAGTTAAAAGACAATAATTTGTCTCATTTTTCACAAAATTACTATCTAATAATGTCACACTAATAATGTGTTGTGTACAGACAGCTCATTGTGTTTAGTACTCGACTACAAGTGACCGACTTAATGTGTTGAGGTGTTTTTTTTTATTTGTATATTTTATTATTTATTAACGTATTAAAATGAGTGATGGCAGAAAACGTTTAAGTGGAAGTGCTTATAAAAAAGTTGCTAAATTAAAATTAGAAAAAGAACAAAAAGTCATTTCTCAAACCGCAAAATTAACTTCATTTTTTGGCAATCAACGACCATCAATCTCCAATTCGCCAAGTAAAATAGAGACTACAGCTGAACAGATTTCAAATGAGTCTAGTGATAAAAAGTAATTTAAAAATCAAATGTTAACTTTTGTACGTTATTTCAGTTTTATATAAATGAAAAATTTTATATTTTGTTTAGTGAGCCTAATCTTCAGAGTCCTCTTGAAGCCCTAGCAAATGAAAATCAAATAATTGAAAATTCGGAAAAACAATTAATAAATACGTCTTCTATTGCACCAAGGTAAGGCGTACAAATCAAAAAGAATGCTTGAAGCATATGTTATCTCATCTGCGTTAATTCAGTTTTTTATAAATAAACAATTTTATAATTTTTTAGTGAACATCCTCTACATAGTACTTTTGAAACCATGGCAAATGAAAATCAATTAATTGAATATTCGGAATTATTAAATACGCCAACTAAAAAACCCAATCCAACACTTTTTAGGGGGCGGCAAAATTAAGAGCACCGGGCGGCAAAATTCCTAAATGCGACCCTGGGTGTAGGGATAATAATGGATGAGGAAATGAAAAGTAAAGTAGTAGAAATACCTAGGAAAAGTGACAGAATTATAGTCACAAAATTGATATTCAAGGAAAAAGTGCTGATTGTAATAAGTGCCTATGCACCCCAAATGAATGTGATGAAATAGACAAGGAAGTGTTTTGATGAGTGATGGTAGGGGTGATGCAAGGGGTACCTGGCAATGAAGAGCGATGATAGGTGGAGAAATGAATGGACATGTAGGTAATAAGTGGAGAGGATATGAAAGAGTACATGGAGGGTAGGGTTTTAGCGGGGGGTCATTCCATGTGAAATCACCAAATATGTGTGCTGGTATAGTTCAGAAATTTATGAAATTTATATCATAGACTTCCTAAAGGTCATTGACAACAAAAATAATGTATATTTTTTTTATTGTTTTTTTACTAGATAGTGCATTTTTTATAATTAAAAACATGAAAAAACAGCCTATGTTCTAGAGCCTATAAATTCACATCCAAATAAGCTATCACTGTGGAACTAGCACTGTATTACTCATATTAAATAATACTTCAATTTCATTCTTAAGTTTTTACATTTTGAATTTTTTTGAACATTGAAATTTTGATTTTAATTTTTTAAATTTTGCAGTATTTTAATAGCAAAATTTGAAGGTCAAATAATTTTTTAATTAAAATTTTTGTTTTCTTTTCAGAAATTTTTAGTAATGTTCTTTTAACCCATATCATATTTGAATCGATTTATAATTTTTTTTGTATCGTTTTACGGTCTTGAACATGCAAGGTTTGCTGAAAATAGCCAACTTTATCATCTCATTACACAAAAGTGACTGAACGATTTTTTTTCAAATTTACATAGTACTTTTCTTAAGGCAATTAAAACGTCTGGTGAAATTTTTATGATGGAGAAATAATTTTAACGCTACTTATAGAATTTACAAAATTTACAATTTGCGTATTATGGAAAATCCACAAACTACGTAATTTTCAACACTCAAATTTTATTTCTTGCATTTATTCTGCGTTCTGTAGTAGATTAAGTTATTGGGACTCATAATAAAATCCTAGGAGCAATGGCTAAGTTCGGAATCAACAATATCTATTGATGTAATTAACTTTATGAAGAAAAGTAATGGAGTTTTTGGATTTATTTTAAGCAGTTTGGATTTATACCTGGTAGGTCAACAAAGGAGCCATTTTGTGTGAGGCAACTAATAGAAAAGTTTAGGAAAAAAAAAAAGCTTTGTATGGTATTTATAGACTTGGAGAAAGCGTTTGATAGAATACCGAGAGAGGTTCTAAATTAGGAATTAATGAGAAAAGGAATACCGAAAAGGTACATTAATATAATAGAGAATAAGTAAGATGGCACTTGTACTAGGGTAAAAAGTGTGAAAGGAGTAACAGACGGTTTTCGGGTAAGAGTAAGAGTGCATCAGGGTTTTGCTTTAAGCCCTTATTTATTTTCTATAGTAATGGAAAAAATTACGAGAGAAATACAAGGAGAGGTGCTCCGGTGCATGTTGTTTGCTGACAATAAAGTATTAATAGGAGAAAATAGAGAGGAAATTAATCAAATGCTAGATGTGTGGAGATCAGCTCTTGAAGAAGAGAAATAAGAAAAAAAGAAGAAATATATTAGTCTTAACATAATTTATTATTAACTCTACTTCGCTAGATAAATATGACTAATAATCATTGACTATATAAACATTTTAGAATAAACTAATTAGTTTACCGTGTTAATTAGGGCTCAGAACTCAATTTTAATCTTATTTTATTTAATTTTTATTGTAGGGAGCATATAATTAACACTATCAACACTTTTATCATAATCTCTAAAAGTAAAAAAAAGTAGACGATTGTAAAAAAATTATGAGTTATAATGTTGATTTAATTACAATATCAAATTATATTTATTAATTTACAAACTTTTTAAAGTACATTAATAATTTAAGTAATTCATTATACTTCTGAAATTATTGTGAAAATATATTTAGTAATAAAAATCAATGACCATTAATCAATTGCTAATTTTCTGAATGAACCGTCTACACTCTCAAAAGAATAACTGGATTTTTTCACTCGTTTTTTTTCATCTACAAGGAGTTTATTGTTATCTTCAAACCAATCACGATGTTTCAACAATTCATTTTTCCAATCGTCTATAAATAATATTAAGAAATGTATAAATTATGCATTTTTATTGTAATGAATAATTTTAATAGAAATCATAATTTTCATTTCAACTATTGGTATTTTATAAAATGCTGCTATTGAAATATTCAGACATTAATTAAATTTGAATTTATTTTAATTGATATATTGCCCAATATACTTTATACTATTTATGTAATTTTAAAATCATTAATGAAATTAATTAATTTAATTATTCCTGTGTAATCTAATAAATATGATAAAATTTAATAACGAAAAGAAATGTTGAATAGAAATTATTCAATAAAAAAATAAAATTTAGTAATATTACTTTTTTTTACACATAAAAAATTCAAACCAATAATAATTTTAAAAATATAATCGTATTGTAATTATTCAGTTTTTACTAATCATAAATTATCTCAAAAAATAGAGGCGATAGATAAAACCTAATTACATATTTAAAATTAAATTGACGTAAAAAATTGGTTTAGAAAAGTATATATTCTTATCTGATGATTAAAAAAGTTTCATTTTGTTGACCATTATCAAATAAGGTGTACTTGTATCATAAATTACTAAAATTGTGAATATTTGTCAAAATGCCAATAAACGTGAGAACTCGTACATAACTTTTTACCATAATAGTTCACTTTATAATACTTGTATTTTGATAATTGCATGTAGTAGTAGGAGAGGTTGTTTTAATTATTTTAATTGATCATAGTTACCCATTAATTCTTCTGATGTTTTCGGAAATGTACCTCCATAGTTTGTTGGAAGAATATGAGGGTCAATGTAGTTTTTCAGATCTTCAACGTCTTTGTGAATATAAATCTACATGCATTAAATAATAATAATAATTCACAATAAATTTACTTTTTCCACACAAAATATAATTCTCCCTAGTAATGAAAATTTAAAAAAGGTTTAAAAAAAACCCAGCGCAGGGGGATCACGGCACAGTGGTGACGTGGCATAGTTGGATCAAATATAATGATATCTGACATTGATTAAAATCATTATCATAAAAAACGCTTCGATGCAAATCTTTAGATAGTGTTTAATTTTAAAAATTGGTGGATTAATCCAAAAGCTACATGATCTGCTATTTCCTTATCTATATCCTGAATGAAAAAGATATTATTAAAAAATATTATTTCTCATTAAAAAATTCAATTGATACACACATTATTTAAAAAGTTATAGTATTTTAAAATAAAAAATATAAAATATAAAACCGAGAATTTTCACACAAAAATAGCATTTGGTAGCCATTTTCACCACGAAGACAAGTCCAGAGGTCAAATTTTTTTTTTTTTCATAATAAAGAACATTACATTAGCTTTAATTCAAGATATATATAAAAGTGTCAGACCTTCCGGAACACTTTCAAAAGTTACGTTGAAAAAGTTCTACTTTCTATATGCATTTTTATGTTTTGAATCCCCCCTGTATTTAGGGAAATGGTCCGATTTAAAAAAACAGTATGTCGAATGAAAGATCTATATAAATACTACTTCTCATAAAAAAATTGTAATGATTCATACATTTTTCAAAAAGTTATAGCATAATAAAGTTAAAAATGGAAAATACAAAATCGAAAATTTTCACACAAAAATAGCATTCGGTAGCCATTTTCACCATGAAGATAAGATAAAGTCCGAAATTTTTTTTTTTCATAATAAAGTATATTACATTAGCTTTAATTTAAGATATATATAAAAGTGTCAGACCTTCCGGAACATTTTCAAAAGTTAAGTTGAAAAAATTAATTTTTTGTGAAAAAGTTGTCATTTTAAATCCCCCCTTGTGGGCAGGTTAAGGGTTAAATTTATGAAAAAAATATACTAAATGAAAGGTAATGATATTATGCATCTATATAAAAAAGAATTATATTGATATGTTCATTTTTGAAAAAGTTATGGCACTTTTAAGTAAAAAAAATTGAAAAAATTTCGAAAATTAGCGATTTTTAAATTTGTAATTTTTTTGGATATTTCCCCCATTTACGGGGAACGAGGGAATTTTCAATTTTGAAGGGTAATGTTATCGACTAGATACGATTTGTGATCTTTTGACGTATCGTTGAAAGAAATCCGTTCGGTGAGAGCTGAGATAAAGTGGTAAAAGACACAAAAAAAAAAGTAAAAAAAAAACACATCATACCTTCTCAGCTTTGCACCGAAGCTAAAATAAATAATCATTATTAAAATTGATTTATTTTATTTACATAAAATATAATGGAAAACAATAACTCCGAACTCAATTTTGTAACTAATAATATGACACTTTAAGCTCTTGCATTAGTTAATTATTATTTATTTATGAAGTTGAAATAGTATCTAGGACAATTTTTTTTATAAAGTGAATCCCCATCTTTTTAATATACTTATTTGTACAATATTAAACTAAATTTTATCCAAAAATTACACAAAAAAATAATTTATATTGAAAAATTGAGATTTTTTACACCAACATAACATTTATTGTTTAACTTCAAGGGTCGCTTACATATAGAAGGGAAGGTGTGTGGACAAATATTATCTAACTTATAGTATATAACTGTATATGTTTACTTGTGATGCATCTATCATAAACTTAATTAGTATATTTGTTAAAAAACATTAAAAAATAATAATCTGGTTAAAATATAAATAAACTATTTAAAACATCCCATAAGTCCTATGTAAATTTTGACATATTTAGTATTTTAAACACATGTTTTGAACAAACAATGATTAAAACGTGTTAATTGTCAATAAATAAAATAAGAATATTTTTTGGTTTCCCAAGTTATTTATCATATATCATTGTTTATGGTAAAGTTGTTAACTTTATTTTGTTAAACAGCAACATTATTTACACACAATGTAATTTTAACATCATAACTGTAAATAGTTAATATTATCGACGAATTTTTATATGTCGTTCACAGCACCGCGTCTTTTATCTTTAGTTATTTCCCTTTCCTTCTTTCTATTGAGAAGTTATTAATCTCTCATTTGTGTACCATAGTATATTAGTAAAATTATTATTATTTACATAGTATAAGAAAAACGTTTTTGTTATAAAGTTGTTGTTCTTGTTTTTCAGCAACTGTTGCCTTAGTTGGTTATTTTACCCTTATTCTGTTTTTCGATTCGCTATAATATTATTATTAATATTATATAATGAACAGTTGATTTTAACTTAATAAATTCATTATTGTTTTGAAATCTAATTATCATAAAGTAATTTTTAAAAATATTACATTTTTAAAGCGAATAAAATCTTATTTTATTTTGTTTGTCTGGCAAACCCAGTTGTTACAATTTCTGCATGTGCACACACTTTCCTGGTCATTTTTAATAGAACTATTATAAATTTGTAATTTGCTATCTATTTACGATATTTGTGACGTGGAGAATACATTCACTCTATTTG